ACATTAATTTTTAAGAGACATTTCTATGATAAATAAGAATACTAGCCTTTCGTTATTTTTGATTGACAATAATCTCCCTGTCAACAACTGCATAAAATATCATGGCTTCCATATTGACCAAAAATTAAGTTGTTAAAATAATAAAAAAGCTAAAGACCATCAATTTGATATAAAAACCAGAAAAAATCTTTCTAACTAATTCATCCGGAATCTCAACTTAATCATAAAATAATATGTATTCTATGCAAGGGAATTCTACAATTCAGGTGAAACTATGGCATAAGATTGTGGAGAACAGCTAGTAGCTTAAATATTTCAGTGCTCTTAAAGCATCTTCGTATTAATGTTAATTTGTTCACAACAACATTCGTGACGGTCGGCATTTTCCATTTGTTAAAAATCAAATTCAATGCATACCTTTAAAATATTCTTTTCATAGGATGAATAAGATATAACATACCAGATCTGCCATTTAGAAAATTTTATTTTGTTCGCGAAATTATTATAATGATTTGTTAACTTTATAGGGAGTTTCATTTGTGTAGCCATCACATCTGTATTGTTATGTTGGGCCCATTGGGGGAAAATTATCTCTGTTATTTCCGTCATTTTGAGATAACTTTACTTATTATATTTTTAAATAGATTGCAAATCAAATATGTAATGAAAACAAAAATAGTAGAAATATTTTCTTCCTCTAATTCACTTTCATCATAAGATTACTTTGGTAAGTGTTCTGGATGTGCTGAAATATCAATAGTGGGTACGCTTTTAATCCTTAATGTAACTTCTCCAGTTAGACCAGATTGCGGAGTTTTAAAATGTCAGCCTTTTTTCTATTTCTAAGCAGTTTTCAGCTCAACAGTTTTTCTCGTTTTTCGACCTCTTTCCAGTAAGATTTGCTTTTTTTAAACAGATGTGTGATCCAATCTGTAAAATAATGTTCTAGAGAAGTATTTTTGCTAATTTAAGGAACTTTACTCTAATCCATGATACTTTTCCGCCACAGTCATTTCGGGTAGTATTGGATGGTGTTTCCTATAAGTTATGGAAATCAGTATACTAAGAAACAGTATAATAAGAAATACCTTATATTCATCTTTGCTTTTGTCTTCTTTCCCAGCGGATCTAGCAGCTTACAAAGTCGTATGCACTCAGCCATTATAAACAAATTTTGATTTTTCTCTGCCAAGTCGATCGCAGAATTCATAGAAACACATTCCATACGGCTGCATCTTGACTTTAAAAATTCGACTCTGTTCATAGAGCTTTTGCAAAGCGTACATCAAAATGGCTATCACTGTTACAGATAAGTGAAACATTTATCACAGTTGCAGTCCTGTTTATGTACTAAATGTTTTGAATATACTGCTTAAAGCTCTGTTTTATTTGTAATATTACCTTGATCGTACTTTGCTAATGCTGCAGACTGACTTTTGGTTTACGAAACGATTAGCTGTATATTCACTTCTATACATTCTTTCAATGACAAGTCCAGCAACTTTTCTTGCAGAAATCATTACCACAAAGATTGTATATTTTTCAGATAAACTCTTCGAGAAGTTGCGAACATGGTGAGATTCTTTAATTGTTAAGCTTGCGATATGTGTTTTTATCAGATCAATTTTTGACTTACTTGTTTTGTTAGCTGGCGCCTTAAGCTTCTTTTATCTTGGACAGTAAATGAGGGTTTTTTGCTGCCGACATTATCGGAAAGCTGCAGGTTATGAACAGAGATATAATGCAGATATAAGCAGAGACTTAAATCGCCTAATGGACATGATAGATAAGCCTTTCTTTCAGTAGATTGGTGAAGTATATAGTGTCAGAGACAACTAAATATAAAGGTGTTCCAAAATTTTTCTCAAAATTGAGTCTAGAAGGATCTCAGATGCTCTTTGTCTATCTGGTATTATTAACAGTAGCAATGTTGTTAATTAGCAGTCATTTGTATGCTTACTCTCTCTTTCTCACTGTTTGTATGGGCACAGATTCAGTCAACAGTTTCTTGATATGAAGAAGAATAATTCTGTGGTTTTAAGTGAATATGCCCAAAAACATTACATAGGACATTTCGTTAGTAACATTTGCGGAGCAAAATTATTAAATATTAGGCAAAATTGTTAAGTACTAGGCATTCGATGTAAACAAACGATATTAGAGGTCGTAAGAGAGAGAGAGTAAAATACTGAAATAAGAACATTTACTGAAATTCGTTCGATAAGTATCTGTAGGACTACGCACAATGAATAATTGTGTGCGGTTGTAAGCGTATTCAATAGGCCCGTGCCTGAGTGTATTAGCAATGTGATAAAAACACTCGTTTGCAGTTGTGCTGCGTTTGTTTAAGCAGTCTTTTGCTTTAGTTTGGGAAAATTACTATTATTTTTCTATATATCTATCTATTTATTGCCAAAAAATTGTTATTATAATTATCCTCTCTAATTTCTACCGAGCATATATTTTCTTTATCTGCATATAATTTACTTATTATATATCTATCTATCAATTTTGTTTGCTTATATATATATATATTTGACATATTTTATCCAATCTTTTGTATCACACGTGAGTTCTACAAGTTATATTATATTATATATTAAAGTTATATTATAATGTTTACATATTGCGGAATTCAACAAGTAGGTAAATTAATAAAATATTAAAAACTGATCTTTAACTCTAGTTTATTCAATTTGAACTGTTTCCTATTTTTTCAAGTAGTATACCCTAAATCGACAGGCCAAGCATTTAAAATTTTTGTACAATAAGACTCTTAATGTAAAGTCCAGTAAGTACCGTCTGTGGTCGCTGCAATTATCGTCCGTGGTCAACCAAACGTTCGTTTTTTTCGTAGTCTTATGAAAATTCATGTTCTCAATGCCTAATTTTTGTTTAATTCCATAATATTATGTGGCAGGCATTTCATGTTGGTACCCGTATATTTTACAAATTTCGTTGTTGGGTTTTTGTGAACATTTGCGTTTCTCCACTACAAGTTTTGCGTTATGTGAAAGGATCGGGCAACCTTTTTTCATAGCTTTTGTTCTTTAAGATATCTGCATATACAGCAATCCTCAAAAACACCTCTGTATCTGTTCTTCAACTTGCTTCCTTATGGACATTTTGGATTCTGCTTCGTTATTACGATCAGTATTGAAGTTGTTTTCTTCTATGTAAGTATCGTCACCGGCTTAGTTGATTACCTGCTTCCAGCGGGTATAATTCCATAAGCCCTTCTTCATTCCTCACTGGCAGACTCTATGTTATTTTTACTCGCCAACTTGTAGTCCAGTTTAAAAACATGTAATTGTTCTCCTTACTGCTCAAACTTTCGTTGTCAAACTGTGCACGAAAAATCTTCATAGACAATAATCTTTGGACGAGACACTCTGTTTCCGAAAAAATATTACAAGCTATCCTGGTTTAACGCTCCGGCCCTCTTTGTATAGACTAAATATATTCTCTACAAAATTTGTCATCGATGTTATTGTTTTTGCAAAACGTTCAAACGATTCCATTCCGCTTTTATCACTAACAATAAGGCTTTTCAAACATTTCTGTGATTCTAACAGTTTTGATATTTTTTCAACTACCTGGAAACTCTGAGCAACTTTGTTGTTAAAAAGGTTATTCACCTTTAGGAGAAATTTTTTGACAACATTTTTGAAATATACCGGTATGAATAATAAACGCACTTACCAAAATATTGTGAAAATAAACATAAATTAAGTATTGGGAAATTAAGTTTTGATAAGATTATGGAGAAAACAAAAAATTGGTCCACCACGGACGATGACTGCAGCGAAAGTAATCACCACTTGCTGGACTACACATAACTACACATACTACTGTATAACAATTTGAGATTCTTGGCCCGACAACATAATAGGTTAGGGAATATTAATTGAAAAAATAAGAAACAGTTCAATTTGCGCTAGCTAGGATTAACGACTAATTTTTGATATACTATGCATTTAATTATTTAATTGAGGAATATAAATAATATAATAATTATATAATATTAATATATAATATAATAATTAATAATTATATAAAATTAATATATTTAGATAATTAATAATAATAATTACATAACATATTTAGATAATTAATAGTAACAATTAGATAATAGAATAATATAATATATAATAATTAGAGAATATAATAATTATATAATATATGTAAAATAACTCATTCAGAAAATTCTTACCAAAAAATTATATTTGCTACATACATAAATGATGCTTGACGTTAGAGCATATTCACTTAAAAAAACAGAATTACATATTTTTCTGCTTTCGAAACTTTCGAGAGTATATGACGTCATATCAGAAACTGTTGACTGTTTCTGTGTCCAAGAGTAAGCTTACAAATGGCTGCTAATTAACAGCCTTACTATTGTTATTGATAACACAAAAACAAAAATTGCTTGAGATTACCCTTCGCTAAGTTTTGGAGAAAGTTTTAGAACATGTATACCATAACAGTTGTCTTTGATAGTACTTAGTAATGTACACTCATGTTTGTTTTAAAGTGTACTAAATGAGTTTTTCCTGTCAGCTGATGACATACTTTCCATGATCATCAAATTCGGAATTCGCTTGTTACTTACAAACTCCAAACCTCTTTCGATAAAAATTTCCATGTATATTCTATGAAAAATGAGCTACATCTTTTCTGTTTAATCTTCGCACTAACTACTGAAACAAAGTAACTTTCAAAAGTAAATACGTCAAGGTGTAAATTATTGATCGCCGTGATTTTAAGTAGATTCTGACCCATCCATTCTTACGCATAAGTTTTAAAGATTTTCTTAAGAGATATGCATGTGTACTACTGTAGAGGACTTTGAACACATTATTTTTAAGCTTATGAAGAAATTATACGAATGCAACTAAGAAGACCGCGGTCAATTGTACCATTTAAGAACTTTCGCTCGATATTTAAAAATAATAAATATAATTAATTATTGACTAATCAATGCGATCGTTGTGTAGGTTTCATCGATAAACCGTGTGTTACGTAATTTGGCAGCACAAAAAGAACAGCAACAACAGCACACCACCCCGAACAGAACATCATCGACCAACGGCAATGTTGGAGGCAGTAACAGTGGTGCTGCTGCTGAACATTTAATGCAAACGTCAACCGCGCCTGGCGATAGTATGTCTAGTGATCATGTTAGCATAGAAATAGTTGCACCTACTACTTTATCTTTAGATTTGAATAGTAACTCCGGCACAGTCACTTCCGATGCTCCAATTTATAACAAGCTTCGACTTTTAAACGACCATAGCGTTCACCACAGCCATCACCAACTGCAAAGTCATCAAAATCATTTAACAGCTTCCACTACGGCACATCGCCAGATTTGGCCACCCCGCCACTATTCATCCTCATCTTGGTATACGACAACTTTAAATGGCGGTGTGACTAGCGCTACGGCCAGCGCCGGAATACCTAATACTGGTTCTTCTACAACCATGGCCTCGGACTTTAGCGTACAGACTCTTCACAGCCAACAACACTCGCTCAGTCCTACCTTAATGCCAACCCATACTAACAACAATTGTTCAATCAACAATGCAGAAGACATTTCGCTCAAGAAAGGTAAGCTTACTTGCCAGTTAATTAATACAATGACTTATATTAGGGTTTAGAACATTCTCAACCCTTACATGTGGAATTCAACAGTAAGTACGTGTTCATACATTTAGTTTTCTCCATTACTTGCTTAAATTGTTAGATTCCCATAGCAAGTAGACAACAGGCGGGACGCGCAGATCGGCACACCCAAAATTCAGAAATTTTACGCTAACACTATGACGCCGAAAATATCATTATGTATCCCACAAAACCGTGGTTACTTCATTGATCTCATCACAATATAGAAGCCATTGTGACTACAAGGCGAGACTGCCACCAGATACTTATTTTTGTGATAATTGCATGTTAAAATTTTTCATAGTTTTTTCACTTGACAATGCAAATTTTTTATGAAAATTCAAAAATAACACTACTGGAATTTAACATAATAGTTTTTAACAGCAGACAGGCCGTCTAGCCTGCGATAGGAAACCTTGTTTATGGTTCATTACAGTCATTGAAGAATTAACCGACTGTTGGAGTTCTCTTGGCGTCCTGCTGGGCTTTTGTTAGGTAGTTGTAAATGGAAATAGATAACAGTTAAAGTCTTCTACAGTTGCTATTACTTTTAGTAGGCTATCGATGGCCGAATATGTTTCTAGTTTAGATCTAGAGGACGCTTTTCGGCGTCTGCGATGTACTGTAAACCGATGTTTAAAAGTGATAGGGTAATAGATCATTATTATTATTATTATTAAAAATTTAGCCAGAGAATAAATTCCACGACTAAAAAGCCTTAAAGCACTAGCATCTAAGGCATTCAGCTTTTTTAAAATTCTACCGCACTTGAGATTTGAACCCGCGACCATTGAATTGGTAGTCGCGATTCTTACCTACTCGGCCACTCAGAAGAATTTGGTAAAAGTTCGGTTTAGAAAATCTTCAACGGAATTTGAGGATCTGTCATGCCAAATATATTCGTCAACGCAATAGACGATTCGTAGTGCTAATCGGCCTCCGTTACATAAATCCTCAAAGCTTATTGCGAAAGAGAATTATTATTATTAATTGTGTGGGCAATCCTAAAACATCTACTGTGCGCGCTCGTGCCCATAGCCCTCCAGTTTTAGGATTCTTATGAATCTCGCCCGATTTTTTGCTTCGGACCACCATACAGTATCCGGTAACCCTAGATGTTCAGGTGCTTAAGGCCTTCACGGCCGCTTGACTATGGGAGTGAACCCAGATAAGCTCTCTCCTGCATTGCCTTCTTAAACGTACGGAAGCACATACGAAAGTTTCGAAGAGCTCTGCTTGGTATATGGACGGAGCAAGGCTTTTTAAAAATTCGGCCCGTATACCCCAGCACCATTTTTGACGTTTTCCAGGTTGAACCCCTCGGCATTCCATTTCTTTGCTTTAATTCGAAGTTTAAAAACTTGCTCGTCCCAACCTGTTCTCATCAGCATGGTCGATCTGAACCAATGCGAAAGTATTACGTTTGCGACATCCTTTCGAGGCATCCTGGGAGTAGACGAATGATATAATATATAACCTAGTCAACTCTGACCCTTCCTTGCAGGAGAGAGCAGTACTGGCTGACTAGTCCACAGTTTCAGGTGCTGGGCGTTTTGGCGGACTACCGGTGACTGAAGAATCCTCCATCTATTCTGCTTGCCGTCGGTAAACAGCTTTACCGTTTAAGAGGGTACATGAGTCGCTTTTACGCGCCTTTGTTGCTCGTCGAAGCTCATACCACCTTCAGTCATGAAGGCTAGGGCAGATGACTTACTTACCCCTTTTTTCTGTGGCGGCCTCTATGCTTTCTTCTACTGGTCGTGCGGGAGTTCCTACAGAAGACCCCCGGGAGTGACTTTAAGTTCTTCCTATGTTCCCTGATGTTCTCCCCCCAGTCTTCCTCGTCAGTGGATATGTTGTCTGTACCTGAGCTGTCCTCAGATATGAGAACATCATTAATTTCCTCTGCGAATTGGAATAGTGCGTCTCCTTAAGGGTTTAGTTTTGTTGACTTTTTTGTTGCTTCTTTCCCCATAAGTAGATTTGAAGGATAATGGAAAGCAGTCAATCGAGATAGAATTCTTGTAATGGGCGATTTGGTTTCCGGAGAGGTCGTTAGGTATCTGGGGTATATTGTTCGAGGATATGTTGACGTGGTGCCACTCGTCCGCTAAGCACGATGCGTGTAACCCTCGAGGTCACGTGTTTTATCGAGTGTGCCTCTATAAATCCGCCATGTCTATTAAAAGAAAAGTGACAGCTTGGGAAGGATGCAGCAAACGTAGTGCGCATGACTGTTTGGATGGACGCTATCCTCGTGCAAGCCGTAAGGCAAATATATTCGCCTTCATCCACCTTGTTTTATAACTAAATTCTGCCTGTCGTCCCGCCGTCAGCTCTTCACTTGAAGAGAAGCGTAAAGTGCCTTAGGCATCGCCACATCCTGAAAAACAAATAGGAATACCTGTGTTACCGTTTATACCGATTACATTTGGTTTTTTTTGCTGGAAAGAATGCAAAAGAAACGAGGAAGGGAAAAAACTGAGAGGTATAAAAATATTGAGCAACTGTTGACTTTTTTAATTTTAAAGGCGCTAAAATAAAGAAAAAGAAACTGAGTACTGAATTGGAAAGTAATTATAATGGCTGATCTTAAATAAACTATCAAGTTGTACACAACAATGCTCGCTTATTAAAATAATGTTTTGTTGATGCATTCTAAATAAAGTAGTGGCGAAACGTCTCAGTTGAGTCCGACCATTGAATTTTTTTTTTTTTTTTAGCCTATTTCTATGGTGTTTTAGTAGTGGGATAAGTTTGCTAAATTTTTGCAATATATGTAATGTCCGTCCATATTAACTTTATCAGCGTATTAACATACTATTAATGCTTTGTCCTCACACACCCATTTCTTCGTTAGTAATGAGCAATAGTAGCGAGCCTTTGTAATATATCCCCCCTATAGTGGCTAAACTTTAATTTTTGACATACCTTTACAACTATACAAATAAAATGAACATCTTGTAGCACCTTCCAAGAAAGCGCTTTTAGATCTGACGTTCTAGTAAATCAGATATGGTTATATAAAAACCAATTTTATATGTACTTTTCATACAGATCGAGAATACCTAGTAAAGGTGAAACCAAATGCGTCTACATCACATAATTATTTACTTATCCATTTTTCAATCCAACTACATAAATATGAGCTAAATTAGACTATTCTTAAAAAATAAGACAAGCGACAATAAGTGAACATTATAACACCACAAAGGTTAGCCAAAAATAAATATACTTATATCTATAAATGCATATTTCAATATAATGTACTTAAACAATACTTGAGCACCACCCTGGCTCTTTGCACCGGGTCTTCAGACTTCACTAAATCAACGCTTACTAGTAGTCATGTTGAACCCACTTTTATCGATTATTATCACCCACGTACGACATTGGCAATGAGTGAGCTTTTAGAAGGATTGATTTTATGCTTAGCATTAAATTAGATATATCAATTAAGTTGAGACCTTATTTAAATTCTTACTTAGAAAGCTGAGAGGGTGAATAATTCATAGTCGCTTCTATACATAAATTATATTATTATTATTAATTTAGCCAGAGAATAAATTCTGAGAACTAAAGTCTTAAAAGCACTAGCATCTAAGGTTTCGGCTTTATTAAAAATTCTACCGCACTTGAGATTTGAACCCACAACCATTGAGTTGCTAGTCAAGACTCTTGTCTACTCGGCCACTCAGGCCGATTACATAAATTATAAATTTAGTTTGAGATTATTAATATTTAGGCTCTGTGAGTACTGACCAGAAATACTGACAAATCAGAATGATTTTTAGGCAGATGCTGCGAACAAAATATCTCAACATTTCATGACACTTTAACCATTACCTTACTTTTGCTTTCCTAGGCTTTTATAACTTTAAAAGCTATGGAAAGAACTGAGTACCGCATGGTGATAAAGCGATGTTTTTTAGTGGGAAGGAACACCGCTCAAGCAAAAGAATACTTCATCGAAACGAGAAATGATTTGCGGATTGTACTACATTGTATGAAAATACCGAATTGGTGTATTGTTTAGTTTCAAAATTATTTGCAGGCGATAAACCAGTCCGTCCCGTCGGAGTTGTGCGGGTGTAGATTTCTACTTTGAATCAAATATCCGCGGTACAAAAAAGCTTGCATTATCTAACTTAAAACGAAAAAATTAACAAATCGTCCTACATAGTTATACTATGCTTAACGCACCTTAGTGTTTTTCTCCAAAAATCTCAACAAATAATTGCGATATTGAATTTATATTAGTTGATTTAAGGAACAATATATTAGTTTGGGGAAAAATAAATCCATTATTTTTATATGAACTTCAGGACTTTATTTAACATGCTT